ACGTCTCGAAACGAAAACTAACTAGGTTCTAAAAGGGAAACTGGGGGGGGGATAAATTAGGAGTATTGGATTAACAGGTAACAACAAGGACCTACTGTGAAGCACAGGGAAGTGTATTCAGTATTTTGTAATAATTTATAATGGAAAAGAATAAAAAATAAAGAATAGAGATATATACATATATATGTGTAACTGAGTCACTTTGCTGTACACCTGAAACTAACACAATATTGTAAATCAACTATACTTCAATAAAAATAAAAATAAACAATTTTTAAAAAGACTTAAAGAGTACCCTCTGTATTCAAGGAACTGAGCTAAGTGCCTGAGGTCGCTATGGCTATGCAACAGGAAAAGGTGTAAGTAGCAAAATGTTGACTGTCACAGGGAAGCTGTGACGATGTGAAAATTCTTGCGAGGGTGATCAAAGCCATTAACAAGCAAAAGATAACTCCAGAAGGGCTCTAACACTAAGCCATTTAGCCCCAGGCCACCAAAGGGCTGTGCACCAAGATTTAGAGTGAAGGGCAAACACTAGGTTTTTAATTCAAGGTGGTAAATCAGATCAAGAATAGGGTAAATTATAAGCAAGGAAGAGGAGTTGAGCGTTAGTGAGGAAGGTACCAAAATGTATGAGCTGATATCTTTAAAAGTTAGTCCAAAATATTTGCTTTACCAGTCAGTATTTTATTTACATATATAGTGTATAGGAATTGTAGAAGTATGACATACATTACACCTATTTATAATAGCCAAGACATGAAAGTAACCTAAATGTCCATCTTCTAGTGCTTTTTGAATGGACAAGTGGATAGAAGCATGGAGGGGTGAATACATAGATAAGTTACCATTCACTCAGTTCAGCAGTGTACCACAGATAATATTAAAACCCTACCACCAATGCAAGGTATATATACATTAAAATGTACACATCATAATTGTGCAGTTTGAAGGATTATCACAACTTCATCCCATGTAACCACCACCCACACCAAGAACTAGAACTTTGCTATCCCCTAGAAGCCCCCTCATGCCCCCTCCTAATGGCCGCTCTCTCCCTCTTCCCAGGGTGATAACCATTATTCTGCCTTCTAATAGCAGAGATTCATCTGCCTGGTTTTTATACAGAATGTACTGTTTTGTGTCTGGCTCTGTCACTCAACATGTTTCTTATGTGAAAATATACCCAGCCTCCTCAGTCGCCAGGAAATAGAAATTAAAATCACAACAGTACTCTGCGACAACCTGTGTTGGTGAGGACATGGCGCTCTGGGTCTCTCATACACTTCTGGTGAAGAGCAACTTGGGAAATCACTTTGGAAAATTAAATGGCAGTATCTGTCTACTAAGAGCTATTTATTGGCTTTCTGGACGTAGTGTTTTGTAAAGTGCTTGTTTTAAGATATTAGGAAAAGAACTAAAAGACCACAAAACAAAGAAAGAGGGACACAAATAAAGATAAAAGCCAAAATTAGTTAAATATGAAAATAATTAGAGAAAGTAAAAATGAAACCAAAACCTTGTTCCTTTGAAACTACTACAAAGCCACTAATACCTTGTCAACTTGTTTTAAGATGAGAGAGAGAGAATGCCCAAGATTAGGAAAAGGAAAAGACAAAATAACAGAGAGAGAAAACAAATTATAAAAGAATATTAGAATGAGAATATGAAAGTATATGTATATTCATGTATGACAAAAACTGTGCTGTACACCAAAAATTTACACTACATTGTAAATTGACTATAACTCAATAAAAAAAAGAATATTAGAATGAAACAGGTCAGTGAGCTCAGAAACAGATCCATACACATTTGGATAAATGATTTATGACAAAATTGGCACCAGTGAGAAGGGGTGGGGAGGATAGTGTTTTCAATAAATGGTGCTGGGTCAACTGTAAAGCCACACGGAACGTGGGAATCTTGACCGCTATCTTTGACCACACACAAAATTATTCTAGATGGTTTGTAGGTATAAATGTGGAGGGTAAAACATTAAAGCTTCCACAAGATAACCTAGAAGAAAATCTTCATGACCTTGGGATAGGCAGACTTCTTAACCAAGCAGTTTACAAAAAGCTCCAGGTATAAAGGAAAAGGTTGATAAACTGGACTATGTTAAAATTAAAAACTTCTGCTCATTGAAAGACATCATTAGAGTGAAAAAGCAAGCCATGGAGTAGAAGAGATTTTGCAATATATAAAACCAAACTGCATCCAGAATATATAAAGAATTCCCACATATAAAAAGAAAACGATAATCCAATAGAAAAATGGATGAAAGACAAAATACACATTTTTGTTGATAAGAAAGTGGGGAAGGATGCTAATGTCTTTTCTAGGCAAACACATTTGCAATGCGTTTTCTTCATTTAGGCCTTGTGATTACTCTTTAATGGTAGGACACTCACACTGGAGGAGAATGACAGAGAGAAAAGACAGCTGGAACTATAAAAACTGCAGTTATAAAGTGACAGCTTTGGCCACAGACTAAGTTAAAATAAATGGGTTGGCCTGAGTCATGCACTTTAAGGGAAATGAAGCAAAGAACTTGCTTCAGAGAGGACAGCTGCTGGTCTAACTCGCTCAGTATCTTAATCAAACTGGCGTCCATAATAGATGTCTCTGAGATATGGTCCACATGGAAGAGAAGACATCAGTTAGCTGCATTCAGAAACTCACCATCCACGCCACAATGACATCTGTTTCCTACATGGAACAACAGTTACGGCCAGCGAATATTCCCTTTACTTAAGACCCCTGTGTCCGAAGTCTTGATATTCTAACACTTCAGCTGAAGCTTCATCACAAAGGAAACACCTACCCAGATCAACAACTGACAGAATGGCTCAGCCACAGCATTTACCTAAGATCCCAGAATGGGTCTTCGCACTGTCTGGCAGACAGAACACTCTGATGGACATTCCATTTAATCTGCTCAGCCAAACGGTGATGTGGGCTGATTTCCTCCCCTCTACAAAGGAGGAACCTGAGGCCCAGGGAGTTAAATGACTAAAGTGCAGAGAACACAGTCAGTAAGTAGAAGAACCAGTGCTCTCCTCTGAGGTTTTCTGGGTCCAAGCCCTGTGCTCTTTCCACTCTACCGCACTGAATGATTAGGGGCTTACTGACGGGTGAATGGGTCGTGGTAAGGCAAGACATCACATACCTGAAATACCAAAACCGATGATAAGTGCAATTGCTCCAGCCAGAATGATGATGACGCTAATGATGCTATGGAGAGAGAGAAACAGGAAATTACTTATTCCACTTGACACACTGCTCTGCAACCTGGACTCATACTTGTCATTCGTAAGAGGTGCTCCGTAAAGAACCTCAACTTTTTCTTCAACATAAGCCCCTTCCTAGAAATAGGCATCTTAGAAAGGACTCTCAACGATCCCCGTCCCCCTGGGGCGCTGGGGTAGATGAAGGGGGTGGCTCTTTTATCTGACTGTGTGTGTCTTCCTACTTTCCTGTTCCCACAAACACTGCTGGGGAAAGACCGGTGACATTTCTGTAGTGCCAGGTGCCACGTGAGGGGTCTGGTTCGGTACCCAGCCCCCCCCCCCCGAGCATTACAGCCCATTCCTCTTACATCATTATTCTACCTGTTTTGGCTCCTCCCATAGGCTTTAAACTCCATTAAGGACAATGGTCCTGTCTTCACTTTGTACCTGCTCATCCCTAGTCCACTTCACCTTGTAGATTCTCTACGGGAGTTTGTCTTCTCTCGTTAAAAAAGTAACACGTTTACTACAGAAAGTTTTGAAAATACAAATAAGCAAAACTCGGACAATAAAATCACCTGCAACTCCACCATCCAGACATAACCACTGTTAACTTCTTGATGCGTTTCCTGCCAGTTTTCAATGAGCAGATTAACAAATGACATTTGGGAAACAAATAAGGAAGTATTGCTCACATTTACTGAGTGCTGGTATTATGTAGCAGGCACATTGTTTTAGGCGCCATTTATAGATTATGCCATTTGTACAGGTGATAACCTTACGAGGGATATAAATTTATCATCTCCATTTTGTAGATGAAATGACATGGGGCAGGGGGTGAAGCTTCTTCCCTGAAGTCACATGGCAAATGGCAGAGCTGGGGTTAGAATCTGTCTCCAGAATCTGCACTCGACTACTTCCTACACTGCCTCCCAGGGGGTGGGGTCTCACAGATGGGGTATGTCCCTCCTCTCTGCCCAGAGGAAGCCACGAGGGAACACCAGCTTTAGCTGGTGAGAGGGACTCGGGCAGAACAGAAGGTGCAGGCCAGCGCTGGCATGGTGGCAGATCAGTTCCTGGGAAGCTTGCCCAGCACCGTCTGCTCTCGTGCATGTCATCAGGCAGGTGTCCTCGGCCAGACTCTCATTGCTGGCAACCCACACACTCCCCACACCCACACTGATGTTACGCAATGGGCAGGACAAAAGAAAAGCACAAGGGGGCAAAGAATGCTGCTTATAGAGAAAAGGGAAACAGGGCATTTTATGTGCTATCCTGAATAGGCTCATTGTACCCAGCTCCCCTCAGCTCAGGGATGGGCCCCCGGGGAGAAACAACAGATTCACAAGAAACAATTTGAGTCAACGGTTCCCCTCGAGGTTAAACCATCTTGAGGTACAGCCACAGGGGCAGCAATTAAATAAGCAAAAGGAAGCTTTTAACAATAGAGTGTTTGCAATTGATTGCAAGAAGAGACCACATGTGACCACTTCTCCTGTCTTTACACACCCAGGTGTGACCTCAGATCTCACTGGTCCAGGTGTGTGAGAACAGCCAGACAAACTCAGCCAGAGGCACTATTTGGCTCCCTTTGACTACTGAACTGGAGAGCAGACTTGCATTTGTGACCCAGGAATTTACTTACCTTGGGTGAGTTACTTGGTCTCCCTGAGACTCAGTTTCTTTACCTTTAAAATGGGAATAAGAGTAATTTCTTCTCTACCTGCTATAAAGGTGCTGTGGGTTAAAATGTGTTCCCCCAAAATTCATACTTTGAGGTCATAAGCCCCGGTACCCCAGAATGTAAGTTTATTTGGAAATAGAATCGTGGCAGGTGTAATTAGTGAAGATGACATACTGGCATACCGGAGTTGGGGGAGCCTAATTGAGTATGACTGGTGGCCTTATGAAAAGGGGAAATTTGGACACTGACTCTCACAGGGAAAACACCATGTCAGGATGAAAGCAGAGACCTATAAGCCGAGGAACACCAAAGATGGCCAGCCAACCACCAGAAGCCGGGGGAGAGGCCTGCAACAGATTCTCCCTGCCAGCCCTCAGGAGGAACCAGCCCTGCGGACTCCTGACTACCAGTCTCCAGAACAGTGACGCACTTTTCTCCTGTTGTTTGAGCCAGCCAGTTTGTGGTACTTTGTTACAGCAGCTCTCCAAAAACGATATAAACAGGTTTTTTTAAGATCAAGTTTGACAATGAACATATTCCAGAACATTGCTTTTCATATGTTAGTATTTACTTTAGAAAAGCTCTGACTTAAGTCTGGACAATAACCCAACTGGTAATGGTAAAAATATTACAGTATTTTGAAATATCAAAAATAACATGTATTAGGCTAAGCATGCAACGTGCATTTTCCCATTTGTTTGACTGACCAAGTCCTGTTCTCCTTCATCTCTCTCATATCCTCTCCCTTTCTGTCACCACTGCTCCCGGTCACCACCGTGTCTCACCAGCATGACTGTGACACTCTCCTGACAGTCCGGCTTCTAGTCTAGAACTCTCCAACCCATCCTTCACACAGCCAGAAGCAGTGGCGATTGCAGAATTTCTATGCGAGCGTGGCTGGGGAGAGATAACCTAGTTGAAAGCCAGGGCGAGGGTGACCACTGAGACAGCTGAGTGCTGTAATGTAACAAGCATGGCCTCTGGACCTGGCCTGGATGTGTTCAAGTCCCAGCACCGCCACTCAGTAATTGTGTGACCTCAAGTGTCCGCTCCGTCGTGCAAAGATTGAGTTAACACATTTTAAAAGATCACTTAGGATACAGTGTGGCACACAGAAAGCTTCAGAAAGTCTTAGCTATTCTCATTCTTGTGTTTTGTTTTGTTTTGTTTTGTTTTTGCTATGGTCCTATAACAAGCACATATTTCTAAGTTAATGCTTCCTTGGTGGTGCTGATGGAGATGGTTATGGAGACCACCCATTGGTTAGCTACTGAGCTATTGGTAAGAATGATTACAAAACTAATCGTAATAGTCCTCTGCTTAAAACTTCAAGTGCCAGCCAGAAAGAGAAAGAAAAATACCATGTGATATCACTCATATGTGGAATCTTAAAAAAAAAAGATAGATGAACTCATAAGTAAAACAGAAACAGACTCATATAGAATACAGACTTGTGGTTGCCAGCGGGGAGGGGGGAGGGAAGGGATAAACTGGGAGTTCGAGATCTGCAGATGCTGGCTGGTGTATATAAAATAGATAAACAAGTTTATACTGTATAGCACAGGGAAATATATTCAATATCTTGTAGTACCTTATGGTGAAAAAGAATATGAAAATGAATATGTGTATATTCACGTATGACTGAAGCACTGTACTGTACACCAGAAATTGACACAACATTGTAAACTGACTATACCTCAATTAAGAAAAAACTTCAAGTGCCTTTCCATCTCCTCCATGATACAAATCCACTCTTTGATGTAGCCAACATAGCCTTCCAAAAGGGGTCTTCCCCTCTCTCTCCAGCCTTGCCTCTCCCCACACGTCCCCTGGGACCCTGCACTCCAGCCACACTGGAGTACATCATAGATCCCCCCTAAGGAGGGGGTTGGACAGCAAAGATACTGGATAGATACCTGGATACTCACCAATAGGAAGGGACGAGTGGAGGTTATGTGTTTCAGTCAAAGCGGCTGAGCCCGTCTCCCTTAACCCCCAGGCCCATATGTTTCCCTTGCTGTGAACTTAGAACCCTGCCATCTGTCAGCAAGTTCCCTGTCGAAGCAGAAATCCCCTTGAGGTTTGTTCTGAACTGGTATTCCCTTGGGAAACAACTCACCCTCCAGGACCTTGGAAAGAAGCAGGAACCATCAGAGCAGCCAAATGAAATAATTCCTGTCTGCTGCTTATTAATTTTTTAAAAAGATGAATAAAATATTTCACACAAGGTGTTCTTACATTGCTTTTTGGTTTTGACTTCCCCAGAATAATTTCCAATAACTATGCTACAAGAAATTTTTCAGGCAAAACCATGTCTTCTAACCGCTGCATTGTAATTCACAGCGCACATTTGTCAGAAACTCCTTCCAAAGGGGCCCAATGAAAGTCAATGCCTGTGGAGGATTTGTCCATTTGGTACATGTATTAAGTACTTACTACGTGAAAGGCATTGTTTTGGTCAATATGGAGGAAATAGATGAAGTAAACAAAGTGCCTGTCCTCAGCGACTGAGGTAAGACACGCACTTACACACGCAAATACAACATACAGGGACATACATGTGAACGCACATACACACATCACTCTGATAAGACGTAGGTGGTCAGGGCTTCAATAAAGAAGGGAACAAGTTCTTATAGGAATTCTAGGGAGGTAGGACTTATTTACACCTGAGAATCAAAGTGTATTTTCATGAACAAATTTCAAAGAAAGTAAAGAGAAAGGCTTTATTCAGAAATCTACGTAGCTAATTCATACTGCTGTACGCTCTCTCCAAGACAGAACCAGAAAGAAAAGTGGTTATTTCTGCTACACTGGTTGGGGTCAGGACCCGAGCATCACACTTTAGTGCTCAAGGCCAGGAGAAGGTGATTTCAGGGGCTGCAGCCTTGCAGGGGAGGGACCAGCCTTGCAGCCTGGGATTCTGCAAACACATTCACATTCCCCGAGGGCAGCCTTGTTCAATTCCTTCATGTGTTTTTGCTTCAGCGGCTGCCGCCTTCTACAGCACTTGAAAGAAATGAGGCATTTCTGTTGAGACATGCTATGCTATGTTCCTGAAAAGCCTCACATTCTACAAAAGTCACACAATGACAGTAATAGGACTTATGGGAAAAATCAAGGTTAAGGGCAGATCATTCAAAACCTATGTGACTCTGTCATCGGTCTCTAAGAGACACAGTAATTGATACCTTGGGAGATAACCTGGACAGCCAGTGCAGGCAGCTCAGGAGGCCCAGAAGCTGCTTTGGGGGAATTAAAAATGCTCAGAAAGAACTGAGTGAAGGCTTGGACTTAAGATGCTGCGAGCCAGTGAGGTT